TAGCCACCATGTTTTCTTTGAAGCTCTAAGAGGCCCGGGTGCAAAGCTTCAGTGTTTTGTGTATCCCTGCCAGGGGTACACACATCACTAGTGATATGTGTGCGGGGATACACATATCACGGGGGTACACATATCACTGTGACACCCCACTGGTGGGGTGTCACCAATTCCCTGATCTTGTCCACCCAAGTGCCCTAGGTCGCGTGACATGTGAGAAGCATTGTGATGTAAGTCGACCCAATATTTGTGAGTCAGGGAGTGTCTACAACGAGCTTGTCTACAATCTTTTATTTCGTCATAATTCGCCGCAGTTGCTGTTCACTTCGCTGAGACGTAAGTATTATGTTCAAAACAGATGAGAATTTAGCCTATTTGTGTAAACTGTAGCCTCGCTAGAGTCCTGAAACGCGAACAAAGATAGTTCAGCTGGGAATTAACTCGGACTCTCCGCCCGATGAAACTGAAGTAATTTCCCCTCGAGTGTTTTTGTTGTCATTTCCCATTAGTTTAATCTAATTCTCTGGTATCTTCAATAGGTCTCTCTTTCCCTTTGTGTCCTAAGTTTGCTGGGTTGTAAGCTGTAGTTCATACTTAAGCGACGCCCATCAAATGCAGAGCACTCTCGACATACGATCTTGCAGGATCTTGATGGTCGCAATTAGTCGGCGGTCTGTAGCGGACGTGTTGAAGTAGAAACTATAAGCAACATGAAAAGGAAAACAGCGTTTGAAACTTAACATAACGTTTTTAACGGGACATTTGGAAAGGAAATTACGGGAGAAACTGTTTCTGATCGTGTTGACGTTAATCAGCTCAAATCATTGATTATTCTGTCTGGTAGTTGTTAAGCGTCAATTAGTTTTTCACAACAAGTAACGAAATTGTTTAAACTGCTAACAAAATCTTCGCCTAACTCCACGGATTATACTTGATTTTGATTGAATCTGACAGAAGTTAAAAAATATACTCAAAACCTGTCTGCAAAGCAATCAAATGAATGCATGATCACTTTGATCTGCATGAAGTTATTTCAGGTATTTGATAAAATAAATTAAACTTGCTCGCTTGTCTGCTTCAGTGATTGGCAAGTAAAAAAACTTTCCAGGTGCATCCATACCTCAATATACCATAGAACTGTTGGAAGTGATGGCAACAGTTTGCTTTTCTCCATGGGTTTTTTTGTCAGTTTTCATTTCGAAGAAGTTTAAATACACTGCACTTTAAACTTTACAAAAAAGCTAATCAAACTGGCAGCTTCTGTCATAGAAAGATAAAAAGTTATCTATTTCAGATTAAAATTTTTCTTGCTAGACATTTTTTATTTTAATGTTTACAAACTATTAGAAATCTGCAAAGTAATTAAGGTTTTTTTTCTGTTGCACTAAAGCAGAGTAGTCACCATTGTTATCATTTTTATTGCAAGTCAACTCTGGACTTTTTCAAAACTTTTTCCTTCTATTAGCATTGTTTGTTAGTTTGGAAATGCAACAAACGCATTCAGTTCATTCTTGACGACATAAATTATTTTGTTCTCAGGGGAACACTCCCATTCCCTAATCCCTTTCACTGCTAAGATCCTATTAGTAACTCTCCAAAGTGTCTGTTATACAATTCACTGTGTTACTGCCTGTCAAACTCTATATTTACCCACTCCTGTAAGTGCACATACTGTCTGTTATACAATTCACTGTGTTACTGCCTGTCAAACTCCATATTTACACACTCCTGTAAGTGCACT